GCTCACAGGGATTTCTGTCCCCATGGTCGGCAGGTTCATTACGACACCCGCAGTTACCCCTGCAGGGGGGCTGGGTACCTGATTCTGGGGGTGGCTGGTGCTGCATGTGGTTCTCTATAGCCTCAAATCCAGGAAAGTCAAACGAGTCCCAGGCCAGCACAAGTGTTTTGAAAGCTAGAGGGCACTGATGCTGGGGAAAAGCAGATCTGATCGGCATGGGTTAGCCCAACAGGAAAGATGCAGGTGACTGCACTGATGCTTGCAGTGGGCTCTGTGTCCACCTATGTACTGGTTGTGCTGCATGAGATGGAGCCATGTTTGAGGAGATGCTCAGCAACATACTTGTGCGGCCATTCTGCTGTTGTGTTTGAAATGGTTGGGGGAAAGGAATGGGAAGCAGCACATCAGAGTAACCAACGTCTCTAGTTCCCAGAGAGAGCTGTGCTGGTTTTGAAAGGAGACTTTTCTTCTCTGATGGTTGACTTTCCCCGCCCTCCCCCCCTTCTTCAGACTGTGTTTTTTGCACTCTGAGCATTTGGGGATTAGGCATAATTTTTCCTGCAAACCAGAAGCCCCCACCTCCAGAGCCGTCCGGGAACTAGCCTTATGCAGGGCTTAGGCCTCTCTGAGGGCGTAGGTACAGGTTATACTTGTCTTCCCACAGGACGGCTATGGAGAAGAAGCTGATTGGCTGCCCCGTGTGTATCGAGCACAAGAAGTACAGCCGAAACGCTCTTCTCTTCAACCTGGGCTTTGTATGCGATGCCAGAGCCAAGGCCTGTGCGCTTGAGCCCATAGTGAAGAAGCTGGCTGGCTACCTCACCACCCTCGAGGTAAGGCCCGAGCCAACACGACGGGAGGCTGGCTGCCTCATGATCCGCCCCGCAGAGTCACCAGTGTCTTGGTGCGCATTGTGGGTCACAGGGCGTTGCTCGGGCAGGGGCCAGGTTTACAGTGAGGAGAGGATTGTGCTGGTTTCACTTGAAGTTTAAGGGAGGATGGGATCAGAGACGTGCGGTTCCTCTAGCCGGTAATCCAGCGGGGAGGAGCTGACTCGATTTTCTGCTCTCTTTAGCTGGAAAGCGGCTTCATCTCCAATGAGGAGAGTAAACAGAAGCTGGTTCCCATCATGACCATCCTGCTGGAGGAGCTGAATGCCAAAGGAAAGTGCACCCTGCCCATAGGTACGGCAGCAATGCCGTTCTCGGCCCGGCAGCGAGGGCAGGAGCGGGGCAGGTCAGCGCTGGGAGGCAGCTGGGCCATCCCCTGCTGGGTTGGCTTTGCCTACGCTGCTCCCGGCAGCTCCCTGCCTGTCTGTGCTTGGAGCTGGAGGGTGTCCGAGCCAGCCTTGCCCTGGGTGGCTCGAAGGGCCAGGAGGGATGGGGTTATGGGCTGGAAACACCTTCCTCCACACGGTGTGGTGGTGTCCTGGGGCTGACGGTCGTGAGCTCCCGATGGAGCAGAGGTTTCTGCGGGGCCTGAGCGCTCTCCCTTCCCCGGCCAGATGAGTCGAACACCATCCACCTGAAGGTGATCGAGCAGCGCCCGGACCCCCCCATCGTGCAGGAGTATGATGTCCCCGTCTTCACCCAAGACAAAGACGACTTCTTCAACTCCCAGTGGGATCTCACCACGCAGCAGGTCCGTGTGCTTGACCAGGGGATTTGTTGAATCCCCTGAACGGGGTCTGTTTCCAGCCTGCCCGGGGGGAGAGGGGAGTCGGGCTGTCCCGGAGATCACCCCATTAATGAGCACGGTTTGGTGCTCCCCATATCTTTGTGTCCGGGCCTGCGAGCAACCCATTCACCCAAGACAAGGATAAAATGCTGCTGGGGCCGGAGCCCGCCCATCCCAGCGTGCTCTCAGACACAGGGGAGTTTCTTGGGCTTCAGGGTGATGCTTTGGGCCTCTCTGCTCTCTCCCTTCTTAGCTCTTGCCTCTTCCCCTCCTAGATCCTGCCCTACATCGATGGCTTTCGGCACGTCCAGAAGATTTCCGCAGAAGCCGACGTGGAGCTGAACTTGGTGCGCATTGCTGTGCAAAACCTGCTGTGAGTGCGTGGAAGGGGGCCTGGCCAGCCCACAGGGGGGGTGCTGGTGGGTGCTGGCAGAGGGTCTCTCACATTTCCCTGTCCATCTGCAGGTACTACGGGGTCGTCACGCTTGTCTCCATACTCCAGGTGGGTCAGGCTGCGGAGCGTGGGGCCGCGAGTGGGATTTGGGCAGCGGCTGTGCCATCAGGGTGGCCGTGTAGGGGGGACAATAGGGTTCGGAGCGGAGCAGGTCCGTCTCTCGGAGCCATGGCTGAGCAGAGCTGGTTTTCCCTTGCCCTCCAGTATTCCAACGTCTACTGCACCACGCCGAAGGTCCAGGACCTGGTGGATGACAAGTGTCTACAGGAAGAGTGTCTGTCCTACGTGACCAAACAAGGTATGGTGACCCTGCACTGGGCTGCCGGCGGCGGCAGAGGGAGAGGGCAGCT